TCTCGACATTCTGAATCGGCATTATGAATTTTGAAACTATGAATTTCGGCATTTTAATTTAGACACTGAATTTCGACATCATGAAAGTATTGCTTTGGAATACAGCTTCTTTCAGCACGGCCACCGCCTGTTATCCGGAACTTCAACTCATCCTAGTAGAGCTGTTGGAGTGGGACCTATATGCCTGCGAGATCAGGGTCTGTGAGCCGGAGACGCAAAGGTACTGGCCAATTTCTCCACGAATACCAAATAATTTTGTCTAGCTTAAAAATCGACTACCCGGCCGCACTGCACAAAATCCCGTTGGCCTATCTGTTGTTGAACGGCACCGACGTGGAGTGCATTCGGTAATTTTTTGCCATACATTTTAATAATAATATCTTTTTCAGAATCAAGGACAGCGAGCAACTGTTGACCGAGCTGTGCCAGAAATGGGGCAGTTTTGAGGAGGTGAGTAATCTTTGAAAAGGGTTTGCATTATCGGGGTGAACCCACGTTTTTTCGTCGTTTCAAAATCGTTTTTACTATTTGCTTTTTTACTTACTATTAGTATTTTGCTTGCAAAAAAAAGCGAGAAATAGCGTTTTTTTAATGAAGATCTGATAGTGCAGATTTTGATCATTGTTTTGTTTTTTAGAGAGACCTATTGCTAATTTCTCCCATATTTAGGCACACGACCGGATCGTGACGGCCCGTCTGATCACTGTGCTGATGGCGTCCGCGCGTTGCATGGTCGATCGCCAGAATTCATCGGTTCGGCTCCTTTTTTACGCGTTAATTCTTTCCTTTTCAGCAGGTTCACATCGGCGATCTTCCCCGGGATTTCCACGAGAGCGTCAGCGATCTCGGCCAGCCGCTGCGCAACAATAAGCAAAGTAAGCATCTTTGATATTAACGGGGGGACCTGTTTTTTAGTCCGAAAATTCTTAGTAACGTGATCGCAAGTGAATTTAAGTAAAATTCAAAAAAATGTTGAATAAATATCTATCTAAAAACTTGAATTTTTTTAAAATGTTGGCTATTTACATTTTTTACCAAAAAAGTCAAAAACTTTCGGAATTTTTTTATTTTTATATTGTTTTTCTATCTAGAAACTTTGTAAAATTGTTTTTATTTGGTTATAGTGGCTTATAAAATAGGGGAAAAATTTGGTTCCCCTCCCCGCTAACAGTCCAGAACCAAATTTTGTTCGAAAATCGGCCATTTGCGGCCAAAAATCGCTATTTTAATTCAGCACAAGATAGGCTCGATCCCATTTCGAACGCCGATATCACAAAAACCCCCCCCCGTTTTAAGAGTGCAGTACCGCCAAAATTACATTGCCATTTCCAGGGCACAAGCAGCCGGCCGTCAACGAGCATTTCCCGCTGGAATGGCTGGTCAAGGCGCTCAACGACTACTCGCATCGCACCGGCGCCTATCTCAACCAAAAGCACTAGCCGCTACCCGGCCCCCGTTTTCCGTTTCCGCTTCTCTTGGGTACCGGTCTCGTTTCGCGCTCAAATAATTCGTGTCATACATTGTCTTAATCCTTCGCATCCCTTTTTCTTCCTCTTTTGCATGCACAATCTTTCACCAGGTCCGGCTAGTCCACACTTGGCCCAATTTGGTGCCCATTCACGTGTATCGCTTTATTATCCGTTTGCCCGTTTCGTGTCCACGTTTTAACCTTATAAAATGTAAAAAAACAAGTTGATTTTGAAACGAAAGCCGCATTTCCCACGCACGAGTCAAATGTTTATTCTCAACGATAAATTAAGCTGTATTCTCCTGGTTCTATGGCAATCACAGGCACGGCGCGCGACGCCACCGGAAGCGTCGGGGGCGCGTGCACAAAATCGGCGAGTAGATGGATCGGAAACCGTCAAATGTCGATGGTGGGCTGCGTGTGCTCCGACGGGCTGCTCTTCGTTTGCACTGCAAAGAAAGCGGTCATTTTTCGAAGGAAAAGTATAATTTAAATGCCTAACTTTAGCAAAAATTCCAACCCTTACCCTTGCCGATGCCCGAGCGTGTGTGTAGCGGCGCCTTCGGGCGTTTGTTCCGTTTCGCGCCTGCAAAAAGTGTGTTTTATGGCAGTTTCAAAAGTAAGGAAAGTCTATGTTTTCAGTAGCTTTTCGTTGTCGTGAGACCCGAGTTTTTAGTAAAAGTTTAGAAATGCCTAGTAGAACTTAATAGGAGGTTTTTTCTTTTTCGTAAAATAAAACTCTAAAAACTCAAAATGGTTTCAAAAAGTGCAAATTTGGTCGAAATCGGCTATTTTTGATCGAAACATCTATATTTTTGTATTTTTGCTAAAAATTTGTAAGTTTTCACGTTTAGAAATAGTAAAAAGGGCTTAGAAAGGCTACATCTATTTATATTTCAAAAATTGGTAAACAAACCCAACCTCCACTACCCGATGTCCGACCGGACGTCTGCGTGCAGAGCCCGGATCGCGTCATCAGACTCTCGTGCGAGGCCTAGAAAAGTAGCACATTAATGGTAGCCCGTTTTCCAAAGCGTCTCTGCTAGGCTGCCTCTTGAAAGCTGCAAAAATTTACTCGTGTTTTGCCCTTCGGCGCTCGTCGCCGCTTCTGCGCCGAGTCGTCGGTGTCGTCGGTGGACCGCTCGGCGGACTTGCTCCGCTTCCCGCCACGGCCTAAACTCGCACAAGATTTATCGAATTTTTATTAGCTAATTAGACGCCCCTAAAATAGCTTAGATTTTTAAATTCACAAAAATTTCTTAAAATTCTAAAATTTTAGATTCTTTCGTATTATCGGTCGAGTGAAACATGGTTTTTTTCTTTGGATCCAATTTTTCAAATATAAATAGCGGAAGTCGTTCTCAACAGTTTTTTACTTTTTCGAAACGAAATAACTTTCCAAATCTGTATTAAAAATACAAAAAAAATAATTTTTAGACAGAAAAGGGCCAAAATTTCGACTTTTAGAAGACTTTTTGTAGAAGTTTTAGGTATCTTTTCTGGTTGAAATATCGTATGTATTGTACTAAAAAACCTTAATAAAATATAGTATCTCAATTAGATTAAATTTTAAACTAAATTACTAGACATTTCTAGACTTTTAGAAACCCCTCCCCCGGATAATGCTAAAGAACCGAATTGTCTTACCAGCCAGCTCGGCAGAGCCGCCACCCGGCCTCAGCACGCGCAGCAGGTTCCGTGCGGTTTTGTGGCGCTGAAAAAGTTTTTCAAAAAAATTTAAAAAATCAGCTCACTTTCGAAGATTCGTCCTGTCCGGTCTTTTCGGCCGAGTGCCGAGGTGGTTCTTCCTAAATAATTCCTATTTGGTTAGAGTGCAGGGTACCCCCCCCCCCCAGCCGGCACCCAACCTTCGTATCTCGTCTCCCTGTTCATCTACAGGTGTGTGAAGTATACCAAAATGTTCGTCTTGCTCTGGCGAGTATTTTGGTCTTCTTTACACACCTGTAGATGAACAGGGAGCCGAGATTCGGTAGGTGGGTGCCGGCTGCCGGGGGGGGGGGGGGGGGTAAACTGCACTTAAGCCTTCCTATTTATTTTTAGCATTTTTAAAAATCGAAGGAATACACAAGCCGAAGCCTAAGCCTGCTAGGCCTAGGCTTAAGCCTCAGCCAAACCCCACCTAGGCCTAAACCTAAGCCTAATCCTAAGCCTAGCCTAAGCCAAGCCGAAGCCTCAGCCTAAGCCAAAGTCACCGACCACAGTGGGTTCCTGGGTGGTCGACGCGATCGTTCCATCATATTCCATCTCGAGCCCGTCCTCAGGGACACTTGATGATTGCTGTAGTTGTCGTCTGTCCGTTTTCCCGCCGCCCTCCATCGACGGCACGCCGGCGATGTTCACCTAGAAGCTTGGATCGGTTAGGATTTATCCTCGGACTTAGGCTTAAAAATTCGAGCCCTTGCTGACCTTGCTGAAGGCGGTGGACGCGCCCATGACGTCGCTGGTCCTCCGCTTCTTGCGCGCGCAGCCATACTGGAGGATGAGCACGAGCAGAAGGTGGCAGACGACATGGAGCAGGCCGCCGCTCATCACATCGTCCATTTAGCTGGAGATCAAAAAATTTCAAGATTTTTGATTCCCCCAATTTCCTCTGCTAGCTTGCCTATTGCTAAAAAAGAAAATACTAATTTCACATGCACAAAAATTCATTTTGCAAAATCCAAAAATGCTGAAAGAAACTTACTGATTACCCGACCAACTAATGGGCGTAAAATTGAAATTAATACCGAGGCGTTCGACTTTTTTTATTGTGTAATTTGCATATTCAAATGAGGTACTGTATATGTAAAGATAATTAAAATTTTTGCGAACATTTTCGACTTTTTGGCCAAAAATGTATGCAAAATGACAAAAAGGTAAAATTTTTATTGTTGGTATTTATAGCAAAAATATTGTTTTATTCTGTTGGCGGCGATCATCATCATTTTATCGAAAATCATGTTTCCGAAAGCAGTTTTTTGAAAAGCATTTTTCGAAAGTCAGGTTTCGGAAAGTCATGTTTCAGAAAAGTAATATTTTCGAAAATCCGTTTTCTGAAAAGCAGTATTTCAAAAATCTGCGTCCAGTTATAGATCAGAAATGGCCGGAAAGGGTATGAAATAGCAAAAAAAAGCGAAATCTGCGGTTAAGCTGCTTTTTCGAAATTCTGTTTTCGGAAAACATTTTTTCCAAAATTCCAACTTTTCGAAAATGTGACTTTCGGAAATTTGACTTTTCGAAAAATGATTTTCGAGAATCTGATTTTCGGAAATGTGTATGCAAAACACTCTGTTGTATGGCAAATTGGAGCTGAAAAAGCCGTTTATTCCATTCTCTCTTTCCGTCAGGCCAGCGCATTCAATCAATTCCGGGGAAAAACGAATGGGAGAGGGCGTGTTAATCCGTTAAACGTTATCAAAAATTCGTGACCTCTTTCAAAAAAGATTATATACAGGCGACAATACAAAAAAGGAGTGAAAGGGGGGCGGGGCCTCGAAAAGACGGGGGATACGACAAAGGACTGCGAGTTTCACACTTTCGTGCTTTCCGAGGCGATCTGCGTCGCGTCGAGCACGAGCTCCGCCGTCCCGGGCGTGCGAGCTGAAACACACAAAATTTACATATGCATTATTACACAATTAAAAAATAAACGGTACTTATTTTTAGCAAGATTTCTAAAACTTTCAAAAATTCAATGTTTTGGTCGAAAAAACGATATTTTTTGTTTTGTTTTTATTTTTAATTTTCCTTTTATTAGTCAAAAACAGTTTAGAAAAAAATTGTTCAATTTTTATACTAGAAAAATTGGATCCTAGAAAAAAGTAGCACCCCCCGATAATGCAAAAGCGCCTATTTTTATGCTCCCGTAATCCTGATATTTTGCGAGTAATCTACATTAATCGTAATCAGCAATTTAGAAAACTTAAAAAATGTTGCAAAAATTACCGCGCTTCTCGAGGCTTTGCCGGAGCAGGCGGTTCTTCTCCTGGCGCTTCTTCAAGTCGTCCATCTGCTGCTGCTGCGACATCGACGGCTGCACACGTTTGCGTACTGTAATCAGGAAAATACAAAATTATATAAAACTAGATTTATACGCTATCATATTCTTTGTCATGATCAATGATACGACCGGCTCTCGAATTAATAAACCCCCAAACCTAGTTTACGATAATTTTTGTTGAAACATTTTTGTCAGGCTGGAAAAAGCTTATTAGTATACGAATCCTAACGAGCTATTTTTGTTTACATCTATCTATTGTATTAAAACATAAAACGCGCAAAAAAATTAGCTCACATTTCGCCGAGCTGGCCGTTTTGACGCGACGGGCATTCCGCATTTCCGAGCTGCCGACGGCCGTTTGGAGGCCCGGGTAGGATTCCTGGAATGGAAAAAATGTCCTCAACAATCTCTGCTAGCCTGCCCTCTCCTCTTCCTCAACAATCTCTGCTAGCCTGCCCTCTCCTCTTCCTCAACAATCTCTGCTAGCCTGCCCTCTCCTCTTCCTCAACAATCTCTGCTAGCCTGCCCTCTCCTCTTCCTCAACAATCTCTGCTAGCCTGCCCTCTCCTCTTCCTCAACAATCTCTGCTAGCCTGCCCCCCCACACCCGACCATATTTCTCCTCCGGCGATGATCTTTTCCTTCAGTGCGGGTCCGAGTACCCGCCGAACGTTCTAAAAATTCTTAAAGCTAAATTTAAGCATCATAACTTACTCCCTCCACTTCCTGACGTCTTCTGGCGTCGATTGATCTTCTCCGAGCTGAGTGTCGCCTCGATGGTATTCAGCTGGAAAATGACTTAAAAGTTACAATGTTTCATCGCACCTGTTTCTTCTTATTTCTGCGCCTCCGCTTCCGCTGCGAATCTTCGGTGCGGCACCGCAGCAATTTTGGGTTGTCGTAGCCGGGAACGGATTTCGGGTGCGTACGCTGCCGACGCTTTTTCTGGAAATGGAGATAAAAAGAATGTTATATGTAAGCTTAGTACTAATCTGATTGTTCATTTTCTAGTCATTACAGAAAAATTCAAACCCTCACCACTTTCTCCGAGCCGTTTGTCGCCACCTCTTCTGATGAATCCTGGAACGGAAAACATAGAAAACAAAAACGCACATGACCTAATTTTTCCGCAAAGACTCACTGCCAGTTTGCCTTAAAAAACTAAACTTAAAACTTAAACTTAAAACTAAAAAAAAAACTAGCAACGAGCGACGCCTTTTAGGGATTGAAGGAGCGTGGCATTTGGGGCACCGCTCTCTTTATCGCTCTCTCTCCCACTCGGTCTCTCTCTCTCGCTCGCTCTCACTGGATCTCTCTCTCCTAGGTGCAGGCTAGCAGAGATTGTTGAGGAAGAGGAGAGGGCAGGCTAGCAGAGATTGTTGAGGAAGAGGAGAGGGCAGGCTAGCAGAGATTGTTGAGGAAGAGGAATGGGCATGCTAGCAGAGATTGTTGAGGAAGAGGAGAGGGCATGTTAGCAGAGATTGTTGAGGAAGAGAAGAGGGCAGGCTAGCAGAGATTGTTGAGGAAGAGGAGAGGGCAGGCTAGCAGAGATTGTTGAGGAAGAGAAGAGGGCAGGCTAGCAGAGATTGTTGAGGAAGAGGAGAGGGCAGGCTAGCAGAGATTGTTGAGGAAGAGGAGAGGGCAGGCTAGCAGAGATTGTTGAGGAAGAGGAGAGGGCAGGCTAGCAGAGATTGTTGAGGAAGAGGAGAGGGCAGGCTAGCAGATATTGTTGAGGAAGAGAAGAGGGCAGGCTAGCAGAGATTGTTGAGGAAGAGGAGAGGGCAGGCTAGCAGAGATTGTTGAGGAAGAGGAGAGGGCATGCTAGCAGAGATTGTTGAGGAAGAGAAGAGGGCAGGCTAGCAGAGATTGTTGAGGAAGAGGAGAGGGCAGGCTAGCAGAGATTGTTGAGGAAGAGGAGAGGGCATGCTAGCAGAGATTGTTGAGGAAGAGGAAAGGGCATGCTAGCAGAGATTGTTGAGGAAGAGAAGAGGGCAGGCTAGCAGAGACTCTTTGCGGATTAAAGGGACGGTGACAGCACTAGACACCCACAAGTAAGTATTCGATAGTTTCGGGGTGTGTCTGGTCATCGGATTCGGTGGTTGTCTCCGTGGTGGGTCTTGTGTTGGGTGTTCGGGGTGTATGAGACGTTCCGGTGCCCCGGTCTTCCGAAGTCATCGTGGGGACGTCGGGCACGTGGCGCTAAACACGGCGGACTGTACTGTTATTGGGCGGAGGCGGCTAATTTTTATTTAACTATGAAGAGCCGTTAAAAGTAACATTTTTGCGGAAATTTCCTTTCGACAGTCATGGCCGATTGCTAAAGTTCCAGCCTTTCATCCAAAACGACCGGGCTCGATCCCCGTCGCCGTCAACCTCTTGATTTTTGGTTTAAAGGGGCTTGGAAGGCAAAACCGGAGTGTACCTGCACGAAGGTGGTCGACTCGACGGACTGCTCATGTTTTGTGCCGCGATTTCGGAGGCAGCCGGCGACGGCGAGCACTACGGCCGACACCCAGGTGAGGGCGGCGATGGGGAGTAGAGGGTCTGAAACAATGTTTTTAAGAGAAGAGAGAGGGAGGGAGAGAGAGAGAGAGAGAGAGAGAGAGGGAGAGAGGGAGGGAGAAAGAGAGAGGGAGAGAGCGAGAGATAAAGAGAGAGAGAGAGAGAGAGATAGAGAGAGAGAGCAGAAAGAGTGAGAGAGCGAGAGAGGATGAGAGAGATATTTAGAGAGTGAGCCAGAGCAGGATGGAGAGAGTTAGCACGAGAGAGAGAGAGAGAGAGAGAGAGAGAGAGAGGGAGAGAGGGAGGGAGAAAGAGAGAGGGAGAGAGCGAGAGATAAAGAGAGAGAGAGAGAGAGAGAGAGAGAGAGAGAGAGAGAGAGAGAGATAGAGAGAGAGCAGAAAGAGTGAGAGAGCGAGAGAGGATGAGAGAGATATTTAGAGAGTGAGCCAGAGCAGGATGGAGAGAGTTAGCACGAGAGAGAGAGAGAGAGAGAGAGAGAGAGAGAGATAACGAAAAACCCACCCAATATAGCGGCCGGCTCCTGAAACGCAATACAGTCGCCTGGCTATTTATTGAGCTTCATCCTCATTCATCTAAAATGTTGATTCCTCAAACATTTAAATAATTTATTCAAATTTAAGCGTCGCTTTTTTCTCAAAAACCAAGCCATTCTCTCGACTGTCAAGGATGCGCGATGGCCGCTTCGTCGAAAATGTGGGTTGATTATGTTTTTTTGAATTATGCAAATCATTGTAACCTATATTTTTGCAGCTCTCGATTGATCACGGCTCGCGACGATCCGCCCGATAATTTGCAGCAAGCCCTCGAGGTCACCCGCCAGGCAAACGCCACCAACATTGCGCTCGGCATTTTCAAGTTGGTTCTTCTTGTGCTAAAACAAAATATCGTAGTTCTGAAAAATTAAAACTGATAGACAATGAGATTAATAATTTTGGGCACCTCGAAAAATAAGCACTTTTGATGTCTATTGCCAGGAACCAGATACCTGAATTTTTAACGATAGTCGAAACACTCTTTTTTTTAAATGAACCGCTGTTAGCAGTTGCTGAAGGGGAAATCAATGTCCCATCAATTTCTAACGGGAATATAACGATTTTTAAACCAATTTACAGTATTTTACACAGTTTTTAAACATCAAAAGCTGCCAAAAATCTATCGAAATTTTCGCATTTTTGACGTTTTAGACAAAAATGTATGAAAAATTACGAAAAAGATAGAAAATTTCCAAATCTATTTAAAAAATGTTCAAAAATTGTGAGCATTTTCATTTTAACATTGTTAAATGTCAAGTTAAGGTATTTCAAATTATCAAGGGCTAAATAACAAATTTTGAATTTAATTAACTTCGAAACATTGTTTTTCAGACCACAAATTTTTCATTTGCTTCCAAGGTTTTGAAATAAAAAAGGTAAAAACTCTACTGAACCCCGATACTCTTATCTAAATCTTCATGAAGAACAAAAACTAGAGTTTGGAAGGAAGTTACGAAATGATAACGCGTAGAGTGAGGTTGGGAAAGCCGATTTTTTAATTTTAGCGAAACATATTTTTTTCAGAAAACCAGTAGCTCCTATTTTGCTTCAATAGTGCTTCAGTTTCTATTTCAAATTGCAACGAATGCTTCCAATTTAATTTCTTGATTTTCAGCGCGATGGCGTCGAACCCACAAAATAGCAATTGCTTCCTGAACGTGCCGCAGTTGATCGCCACCTACTCGCTGCTAGCTAATGCTGCTGATACGAAGGTAGGGCTAGCAGAGATTGTTGAGGAAGAGGAGAGGGCAGGCTAGCAGAGATTGTTGAGGAAGAGGAGAGGGCAGGCTAACAGAGACAATTTGTGGATTTTCCAGGTGGCCAACCAGCTGCGTAATCGTCTCTTCGGCACCGAGGTGGTCAGCAGGACGGCCGCTACCGAGGTGGCCAACTTCCTGGCCAACTGGTTCAAGCAGCTCGCCCCGCTCTGCTTAAAACGTACATTAATTTGTATAGTAAAATTATAAAAATTAAAAAATCTTTAAGAATTTAAAAAAATCAATTTGCGCTAGATTTCGCGGCCCGTCGCATCCTTGTCCACCCCGACTTCACGAAAAGCTACAGCTACGCCACGTTCCTCGTCCTGTCCGACCTGGGTTTTCAGGTCAAGGTAAGCACTTTGGGCTGCAATAAATTAAAAATTAGTTGGTATAACAAATTTTATTGAAGTGTAGGAGGCTACAATTACCAAACCCAAATTTTCATCCTTTTTATTTTTTTCTGAAACATGCAGTTTTCATTTCGAAATTTTGTGGTTTAGATTTGAAGCATTTATACAGCGAAATGCTCTTAAAAATGAATCCTTTTAACTATATCGATTTGGGCGATCAAGCGTTCTTTTTGATTCTCCATGAAACATGAATTCTTTTCGAAAAATTGACCTGGATTCGAAGAACTTCGAAAACCATAATAGCGGAGGTGTTTCTAAGCTTTTTTAATTATTTTTTCTAAGCTTTCGAAGCTTTTTTATTATTTTGGTTAATAGAAAATCTCGATTCTCCAGATTTTAGATCAAAAGTTGTATCAAAAACGTGCTAATTTTTCTTGTTTTTACTTGAAATATACGGTTTGATTAGGATTGGATAAAGTCCGATTTTCTCAATGTTGCTCGAAACATTGATTTTGAATCTCGGAAGAAATTTGTTGTTTTTTTTAATGATTGCTAGTAATTATTCTTAGGTATTTTAAAAAGTATTAATAATTCAATGCAATTTAGAGGGCAGATTTTTTAAAAATCTACAACTTTTTCAGATCCTGAAATCGCCGGACGTCAACGAGTGGCTGGCCGCTGAGAATATTGTAGGCAATTTTCCATTATTTTCAATGAAATTAAGCCAGTCTAAACGTCTGAATTCGAAGAATTAAATAAGGTTGTTATTTAATTATTCATAAAGTCTTAAATTTTTAATTGAATTTTAAAGCCGATTTTTGCAGCGCCCCACCAGCCCGCCCGAGGTGTTCATGCTGTGGCCGGAGTCGCCTGAGGAGCAGACCAAGGAACCGCAGAAGAACAAGGTGCTGGTTAGAGAGTTTAAATTAGTCAATTAAGATTTGAAAAATTAAATTAAACCGATCAAATTTACCCAATTTTCCGTGTGGTTGATTGGTGACGTATTAGCCTCCTACCCACTAGATCCGGGTTCGCTTCCCCGGGGTGCTGAACTTTTAGCTTTTTGCTCAAGAAAACTAAATTTTACCATTGGCCGTATGGCGGATTGGTAGTGCGTTGGCATCCCACCTACAAGGCCCGAGTTCGATCCCCCCGGGTGCGGAACTTTTGGTTTTTTGAAATACAATATATCTTCAGTTATAATAAGTATTTTTAATAGTATTTTGGGGCAAATTGAACGATATTTCAAGTCGAAAAATTTTAAAAATTTTGAATTTTTGTTCGTGAATCGGCGAATTGTGATGGAAAATGGATATTTTTGTTTTTAAAAAAGTTGATGGTTGCCACCCCCGATAATGCAAAAGAACCTACATTTTTGTAGGACGAGCTGGCCCGAATCGAACGCAGCCGCCGTTGCCCGATCATCACGACGGCGTCGAATCTGGTGATCCGCCTGCCGGACGTCAATCAAAACGAAATGTTTCGCGTCCCGTTTGAGGTTGGAGGCGCACGTCGTTGCCTAATACGCGGCTGTATAACTGTCTTTTTATAGACTTTACGTGAAACATCAAGTCTACATGGCTTTTTATTCGAAATGACGCATGGAAAAATCTTTTTGTAAAATTGACGGCCAATCGAAGGCTGAAACACTAACGACTTTTGAATTTGAAAAACAGCGTTTGAGCTCGGTTTTTAAATTTTTAGAAACGTTGGCAATAAACTTAATTCAGTCGCATGGGAAAAACCGATATGAAAAAGACAATGTTTCGTCACAGTTTAAAAAGAAAGAAACTCGGGGAGTCTCAATTTTACCATAGGTTGTGCCATTTTAAAGCCGAAAAATACTTTTTTTGAACAGGGCCTCCCCGTCGACGTGCTGGCCGGCGAGATCAGGTCGTTCAAGGCCGACTCCGTCAAGCTTTTCCAGATTGGTGAGAATTTCAACGAGCATGCTTGAAATGGATTAAAAATTTCGCAAAAAAGACTATATAATTTAGAAAATATGAAAAAGCACTTTTTCATAGCTAATAGAGGCAATCAGAAATAAATAATTTTAAAGGGATGGCGTGACATTTTTTGAGATCGCCACGACGTGCTGACGGTGCCAACCGTTCACGACGCGCTGACGATTTATATCATTCAGAAGGTATGAGAATCTCTCTCGCTCTCTCTCCCTCTCTCTAGCTCTCTCCCTTTCTCGCTCGCTCTTTCTCTCTCTCTCTCTCTCTCGCATTATGCCTCTCTCTCTATCTAATTTAATTTTTGCAGAACATGACCGAGTTGCTGGCGAGTAAGGCTCACTTCACGGAGCTGTTGCGCAAGCTACGCCTCAATACGGAAGTGGTACGGTAGTTTTCTATAATTTAAAGTTAAAGAAAAACAAAAATGATGTATTATTACTAAGCAAATTAATTTTATTATTTTTATTTTATGTTAGCTTATTGATATTATTTGATACCGAGAAAAACTAGCAAAGTTGTATTTAAATAAAAATGTTTCGTATAGAATTAAAAATCGAAAATTTTTAAGCACCCAACTGATTTGACACATCGTAACTTCCAAATAAATCAAATATTTCGTTACTGTTATAATTCTATTATTAAACTAAATAAAAAATATGGTGTCGTAATTTCCAGTCGAAGGAGTACAAGTCGCTGATTCTGCCGGTGTGGGACCAGCCGGGCCGAGCCGCCAACATTGCTGAAGCCTTTCAGGTGGAGTAAATCTATTTGGTGTTAATTCCGAATAATTAAACAGTTTTGTTTATTATTTTGCAATATAAATTTAAATGGCTTAAGTTTGAAAACGAGCGCAAAAACTTTTTGTGAATAATGTTTCAAAAAATTTTAGTAATCGGTGAATTTTTTTTTCCTAATTTATCTCACCACGGGTGCTTAAAATTATATCGATGAAAATTGTAAATATCGATTTTAAATCTAGTTAAATTTAAAAATTTCAGAGTAAATATTTAACTCTTACAAACTAAAATTTAGAGCGAACTCCGCGACAACCCGTACATTTACAACCAGCTGTTCGTCCCCGGCGGCTTTGAGGATTTGGCCCAACCAGATAGGTATGGGAACTTGAACTTGGGGGCAGGCTAGCAGGGATTCTTTGCGGAATTCAACTTCAAAAATCCTTTAATTCAATCAATTTATTTTTAGTGCCCCGTCCTCGACGCTGCCGCCGGCCATCCAGCACCACGATTTGTTCGACATTGCCGATCTGTCGCGCAGAAAGGGGTAGGGCAGGCTAGCAAAGATTGTTGAGGAAGAGGAGAGAGCAGGCTAGCAAAGATTGTTGAGGAAGAGGAGAGAGCAGGCTAGCAGAGATTGTTGAGGAAGAGGAGAGGGCAGGCTAGCAGAGATTGTTGAGGAAGAAGAGAGGGCAGGCTAGCAGAGATTGTTGAGGAAGAGGAGAGGGCAGGCTAGCAGAGATTGTTGAGGAAGAGGAGAGGGCAGGCTAGCAGAGATTGTTGAGGAAGAGGAGAGAGAGCAGGCTAGCAGAGATTGTTGAGGAAGAGGAGAGAGAGCAGGCTAGCAGAGATTGTTGAGGAAGAGGAGAGAGAGCAGGCTAGCAGAGATTGTTGAGGAAGAGGAGAGAGAGCAGGCTAGCAGAGATTGTTGAGGAAGAGGAGAGAGAGCAGGCTAGCAGAGATTGTTGAGGAAGAGGAGAGGGCAGGCTAGCAGAGATTGTTGAGGAAGAGGAGAGGGCAGGCTGGCAGAGATTGTTGAGGAAGAGGAGAGGGCAGGCTAGCAGAGATTGTTGAGGAAGAGGAGAGGGCAGGCTAGCAGAGATTGTTGAGGAAGAGGAGAGGGCAGGCTAGCAGAGATTCTTTGCAGAAGTCGCCCTGTCCCTCTCCCCCCAGTGCCGGCCGACTACACGCGCTACATTGTCGACCACCCTTTCGTCATCATCCTCATCGACAAGGCCATTAGTGGGTGGAATTGTCAAGCCAAGCGATTTCTAAAGACAACCTATTGCCGTTGCTCTTTCATGCCACTTTGTCCTTTTGGCGAAACATCGTTTTCAACCATCATGCTTTCAACTGCTCCCGAATTTTATCAAGTGAAATCAGACCAGCCACGCAATATTAAAACAGGCGGACAGGACTTCTGTAAAGATCCTAAAACATTGTTTTGCAAACTGAACGATTTCGATTTACAATTATTATGAATTTTTTAGAAGTTTCATTTTTTCCTAGGGCTTCAGAATTAATAATATGGTTTTTATTTGTGTTTTAAGTAAGATTAATTATTTTTTTTAATGGATGAGCGATCAAAAAATGTATTTTTTTACTAAAAATTAATGAGGCTGCGCTTAAGAAAAGCAAAAAATATTTTAGAAACTAGCTTCTAAGATAAATTATGGTCCCCCCCCCGATAATGCCAAAGAGCCAAAATAGGCAAAAAAATCCAAAAATTTGATTATCAGCGCTTTATTGGTAGACTTTTCTTATTAAGTTCTAACTTTAGTAAATTATAAAACATCAATTTATTGCAGATATGCCGGTGCAGATGGGCTATATCAGCCGCCCAACTCCAGCCGATCGGCCGCGCGACGACGCCGCGAAGAAGGGCCTCGGCTGCACGATCGCCTAGGCCACGCCCCCTTTCCGACCACTTCAACGCCCCTTTAAAGCCCTTTTCTTTATGCCCGAAAAATTAGACAAAAATTCCGAATACACAGCTTCTATCTCGGCCCCCATGGCCACCTGTCACGCTCCCTTTAATAATGAATTAACTGCTCCCGTTTTTCGCCTTGTGATATCTGATTTTTATGATTATCGTGTTCAATAAATATTACGGGTTAATTTATGTTACATTTTATTTTGCAATTTTATTTTATTGGCTGTAATTTTATTCAAGCCAATATCAAACTTTTCCAAATAGTGTGTTTCCTGGAAAATTGATCAACAGGCTAACTTTTGGAAAACAATATCCTTGGGTCTTGTATGTAAATTATATCTGCGCTTTAAATTCCTTAAATTTAAATTTCAAGGTTCCTTGCTGGAATACGAAAGCATACCATAAAAAAGAAAATTTTTTCAAAATATATGGCTTTGAAAAAGCATCGTAGCGCAGCAATTTAGCAGCCAATAAAACGTCATAGCCCCTCATAGAAACTGTCCTCGATCGGCTAACAGATGGCGAGTGCAAAAACAAGAATTGCTATCAGAATCTCGAAAATCAGAATCTCGAATTTTCAGAATCTCGAATTTTCAGAATCTCGAATTTTTAGAATCTCGAATATGCCTATGCTGGATTCGTGCAATTTCCGGAACCTTTAATGCTGATTTAAACAATGGAAATTTCCAGATTCTAAAAATTCTAGATTCTGAAAATTCGAGATTCTGATTTTCGAGATTTTGACATATTCCCCAAAAACAATGCTATAATTTTCTATTTTAATGGTTTCCGGAGAAGTCCTAATACTGGAATAACACTTGGAATTGACCTGCTTGAATTGTTGAAACATTTTTTTTCGGGACAATGACCCAAAATTTTTGAGAATGCCGTTGTTTCTTTCGCGGTATTCTCCATGCCATGATAGCGCCGAAAAATATACTCAGCGTTTTAATCACAACCTAAAATTTTGTCATATAAAAAGTGATAGCATACCCAAAAATAACCGGTGAAAATGGTGTCAAATAGTTATTTTTCAATAATTTCGCTATTTTTCGGCATTTTGTATATTCTGTTCGGCAGAGCATTAAAAATATCATATACTGAAAGTTTAATGGTAGCTCAAAATCTCAAATATTTTACCAAGTTTTGGGTTCAGAAATATTTAAAAACAGTCTACAAAATCCGCAATTGACAACAAATTTAGGCTAAGCTGGTTTAATTTGTCTTCAGAAATCGCCGAAACACCTTTTTAAAATTTGCGCACGATTTTTAAATAATTGTGTTTCGGCAAAAAACTGGGCTAAATCTTTTTCGAGCGTTGCAATCCGCGATCTCCATCTTGAAAATTCTTGGAAATAACCATATGGATAAATCATCCGGTGCCAATTATCGATATTTTTTGAAACGCTAAAGCAACCAGTAAACTAAAATATCAGAAATTTTCACTAACTAAAAATGGCAAGAACCCTGATTTGGTTTTTAATATTGTAATAAATAAACTTACAGATTTGGTTGCACAATTATGTTTCTAGAATCCAGTATATAATAATTTTTTCGAAAACAACAATGCTGATTAGTGATTAGGTAGTTCTGACAAACCTATCTGCGGGCGACGCTTCCAGTTTTTCAATGCAAGCAGGTGCAAACAGATTTCAGCCGCCCAGGTTATCAGATTTTTGTGAAGCACACTAATTGATCCCCAGGTCTAGCGCATGTTTGTGCGCTTTTTGGGTTTTTGGTTTTCAAAGTTGGACGATTTATAATACATTAAAAATAATTTTAGTTCGTAAAAACGTTTTTATTTATTTCGCTGAAACGGAAAAATGTTTCAAAAACCGCATTCAAAGCATGGGGGCTGGTTTTCTGTTTCTTCCGATATTCTTCGACTAAAACCCGACTAATCTTGTTGTTCAGATGGTGCTGACCCTGTTCGAGCCGTTGTGGCTGAGCATCTACTGGAAGGTGAACGGGTGTATCGTCATTGTATTGAACTCCTTCGCGACGTTTATCATCTTCAAGTATTCATCCACGGAAATGGCGGCTTATCGATATTTTTTGAGCAATATATTGGTGGGCCTCGT